ATTCTCTTCTATATATATATATATACACTCACACTTCGTCTACCTGTTTCCATCTCCTGCCTAACCTCAATTCCTTCAGCTCTTGCTGTTCTCTCCCTGCTCTTTATATCAATGTCCATGCCACTGCCACTCCCCCAGTCCCTCTCCTTTTGAAAGACTACAGTCCACTCTCACTTAGGTCAGGAGAGGTTCAGCATATTTAAGATGGACGCTCTATCACTAATCAGAAAAGAACAATAGCCTATTATCTCTGTTTATGACAAGAATCCTGTCCAGTTTTTCTTAACACTTGGATGCCAGCTGGTGCTTGTTCTTTAGTAAAAGTTTGGCAAACAAACATGTTAATAATCTGGCGCATAGTTTTCTTAATATTTAACAATGAAGTGAAAAAGCCTTAAAAAAAAAACCTAAATCTTCACATTTTCTTCCACTCGAACCAAGTTTCACTGAGTACCTTGTAACAAGGCTCAGATATGGCTACATAGTTGAACCCTGTTCTTAAAATACAACTTACTTTTTTCTAGGGCTGTAATGATTTCCACTTCTAAACTGATTCTAAATCAGAAGTCTACCAAAATACGCTTTGGATTCCAATCACTGAAATCAAAATGAGGATCTGTGATCCGTCCCCCATCCGTTGTCAAGGCATAAAACCAATGATCATTGATTGTTACAAAACAAGACTTGACTTGTCTAATGGCATGGTTACCAATGAACAAATGCAGGCAAATGACCAATGTCTGCCAAGGCGATAGTAGTGCTGAATGTGGGCAGCGCCTGATGTGACAGTAACATTAGCTAGCTTACAAGCCAATTTGCGGTATTTGCCCCTTCTTCACTGCCTAGCTTCCTTGCTAATGTTGTCTAGCTTGGTAATAATTACTGCAAAATATGATGTTATTGGTAGGGATGTCCTTCGGCCGCCGATATTAGCAAAAAACGGCATTGGATCGGACTGCATGGAAAAATGCTGATCCAAGAACTCCGATCCAGTTTTTCACGGAGTCCGCTCCAGGTTTTCCGGCCTGCCCAGCGCTCCACAATTCAAGCAGTCCATTCCAGTGATCCACTCCAGCACTTACTATCAATCCACCAGGCCAGCATGCAGACGGCAGACACACACATGGAGGGTAGGAGGAGTAGCGGTCAACTTAGTTAACTGACTATTTGTTTTCTGCTCTGGTTTTTTGAGAGTGATATTTTTATTTGGTTTACACTCTTACTGTTTAAGTAAAGAGCACTGATGGCATTGTTTTGGGCACAATTAGTGAAATTGGAGCCATGGATGGACTACAAAAACACTACTAAAATAACTGAAAAGGAAAGGCTGCACTGTTTGTTAAATGTCAACAATGTCTTGTGGTGTTAATCTGTTTTTTATTTATTAGGGGGCCAAAGCACAAGTGTGTGGAGTCTTGCTGCTAATTTAATTTCATTGTTAGACATTTTAAAGATTTCTTGTGTTGATTTATTTTCTATTTATTAAGGAGCTAAAGCAGCCAAAGCAAACCAGCTATATTTTTTATTTAATGTTAATGTTCAAGTTTAAAGTTTGTTTATTGAACCCTGTTAACAATAAACAGGTCAGTTTCTCATACCAACTGTTGTGGATCATTCTAACTAACCTGATTAAGTAGTTGTTCTTGTTAGAGTAACATCGCTTGATCAAACCTTTTCTAACATGACTGACAACAAAATAAGTGAATATGTATAGTACGCGCTTGGATCGGATCGGTATCGGCCAAAACTCAAGGCTGTAATATCGGTATCGGATCGGAAGTGAAAAAAGTGGATCGGGACATCCCTAGTTATTGGTACATTTTTCATTTTCTTATGTTCCATGCCTGTTTCCCGCCTCACTGCCAGCCAGGCAGCATCGCTTATGTGGGGCAGTTTGTATGTTTCATGGCAAACACCATACAATATTGGCTGGTTAAACACAGCAACAGTCAAAGTCTCCTCCACACATACCTCATTACTATTGGCTGAGGCTGCAACTATGTAGAGGATAATCAAAGTTGAACTCAGAAGCAAATCTTTATTTGCCCCTCTGCTCAGATAGAATGGAAGTGAGCCGGGGCAGGTATTTGCCAATGTTAATTTCGCTCATGTGTGACTGTACCTTTACGATGCCATAACCTTCCGTGCAAAAAAAAAAAAAAATGTTCAAATCAAAAACTGAATTGAATTGTGACAGGACCACCTGTTACAGATGTGTGGTTTGTGTTCCCAAAGTCAATAATGAAACCCAATTTGTATGACTGTAAGTGGTCAGGTCCACCAAAGCAGTTTTTTTAATGCTTTGCAATGGGAGTGCCGCATATTTACGCTGTGCTACAAATACAGGCAGCACAACAAGGCACTGGGCATGAATTTTGCACTGAGCACTCCTGGTTGGGCATTTTTTTTCTGAGTGCCAAGAGTTGTTAAATGTTCAACTTCGGGTAAAAACGCTGAGCTTGTCACTTCAGCCATTCAATCACAGTAGAGGAAGGACAAATACCGCAAAGACAAATCATTAAATCTGACATGTACAAGTGCTGAACAAAGACAACAGGGGAGAAATGTGTTAATATATGTTGCCTCTCATGAACCCACACTGACCAGTGCATCCTTCTTCTCTCCCTACATACTTCAACCTTCCCCTCAAGCAAAGCAAGTACTCTTCCTTGTGCCATCATGTTTACTTCTGCAGATATCCCATATCATAGTAACCAGACACAACCAAAGCATCTCAGCTGAAAAAACACTGCGCCTCTAAAGTGCTCTCAAACACGCCCACCTGGGAGGGGTGCCTGGTGTTTTCAACCAGGAAAAAAAATGCTTTGGTGGACACGGGGCGTAATACTTTAACACAAAGATTGTCAACCTTAAAAACCAACTGTAGATTTCTGGTGGATCTGTACACAGCATTGTTGTAAGCCTTATCCACAGACAGAAATTTAAACCTTTAGATCCATTTCGTATTGCATTTTTTGGTTTTGCTACTGAATTATTTACTGGCTACAAATCAAGTCTTTATATTTGTGGTTTGGACTGTTTAAGCAGACACTTGCCCTAATTTCTCTCCAACCTCACTCGATCAAACTCTTCCAGCTGTCCACCTTTCCTGTCCGTCCACCCATACATTCCTTCATGAAGGAGTTTGAGCCAGAGCTGCTGTTTTCATGCTGTGTCCCACCCTACATTTTTAATTTTTCCTTATCATCCAGCTGCCACTGATATTCCATGTAGGTCAATAAAGAGGGCACGCACTCACACAAACAACCACCCTCTCTCCCACACAGACAAATACATGCACAAAAACTAAGACGCACTGACAAATTGCACCAACAAAACATACAGTATGTAAAGCCATGTAAAAACACCCAGTGTCACACAGATAAAAGTGCATGTACACTCACACACACTCAATGTGTTGGCACTACTTAGACACTGAGGCCTTAGGTTGTGGTTTTGTTTTACTGGACAACATTTTAAGGGGCTTTTACTGTCCTGTATATCCCTGAATATGTGATGGAGGGTGGGGAGATTTAAGAAAGCGCCACAGAGTTGAGAAGTCTCGTCCCTACTGCTCCTCTATCCTATAATGGTCTGACAAGAACTCTGTGGTGCAAGAACTAAATCCCAGAGAAAAGCTTGACAAAAGACCTCCCTTGGTAAACCTTGCACAGACACACACACACACACACAAGCACTCACACACATTCACACACACTCCCTGCAGAGATTAATAAATATCATCCAGATCTCACAGCTCCAATGGGCTAGGTTGACAGAGGAGGTCGGGGGCCTGTCAAGGCAAGCATCGCACTTTGTCCCTCTCTCATTGAATCTATCCCCACCTCTCTTTTTGATTCTCTCTTCTTTATATTTCCCTCTCTTCCTCCCTCCCTGCCTGGCCCGTCTTGCTTCCTATTTGATCTTTTCATGATTAATTAGAAGCTGGTTTGGAAAAAGGCTGTTAATTGTTCTGATAAGGGTAAAACTGAAGGAGACACACGGATCAAAGGAGGATTCAGTTTTATATTTTTGATCAGAGACAGACTGCTGTGTTCTTTTAATTGAACTGGCTGGCTCCATGGAGCTGAGGGTTGTGTGAGTAAATGTTGCCCAGTGTAGAGCTGGATTTGTGGCTCACTGAAAGCACATCCACAGAGCTCTACAAACATACTGTATGTGTGAATAAAATGATGGCATAAAGTGTATTTTCCATGTTTTAATCAGCGCTCTTGCACAACCAGAAACTGCAACTTCTATGCTCGTAGTGTACAAATCAGAAGCCCAGGTTTTATCTACTGACAAATCCAATAAAGTTCAGGTCAGTTTTACATCACAGCAGTCCATTTTTTCCTCAGGGTTTGTTTTTTTTGGGTGGGGAGTTTTTCCTCATCCACTGTGAGGGTCCAAGGATAGAGGGTGTTCTATGTCATAAAGCCCCCTGAGGCAAATTATGATTTGTGATACTGGGGTACATACAGAGTCTCTAAACTACAGTTTTAGCCACAACTTGTAAACAACTATTCCAATAACATTAAAACAAGCCCACTACAGTTTATAACAGAACTTTTGACAGCAGCCGAGTGGGAAATCGGACCCTGGAACTATAAGACAGCCAACAAAAATTTATGGCCTGCCAGAAATCTATCCAGTTGTCCTAGAGGCCGATCGTTGATCGCTCAGGCAATTAATCAGGCGTCCCAACCCCCCTTAAAGTGCGTGTGAAACGACAATCTATCAGCAGAAATTTAGCCCAATTCTAAAACTAGTCAGCCCTTAATTGTCTGCCTGTCTGTGACAGTTGGATTAAACATTGTTATGCTTGAGAGACACTAAGGTGAAGTGTGGGTGATGCTTATATGCAAACTTGTTAATGCATGCCAATGATATTTGGTCAAATGTTGGCCCACTTAACACTCAGTAAACATCTCTCCTTTACTTTCAAACAAAAATGCACAAATTCAGTGTTGTGCTAATTCACAAAATGGTCGTTAAGTTACCTTAAATGGAAGGGACTTCTCACTGCAGGGGCTGATGGGTAGGGACTGGAGGCTGCTGGCAGGACTTGTCTCTGTGCTCTGCACAAGATGAAAACATCAATATAAAAATAACATCATTGTAAGTGTTGCTGATAAACCAGCGATGTGCCCAGAATTACTTTCACAGGATCAGTCTCAGTTAATATTCGTTTGTTTATAACAAAATTAAGACACCTGCAAGTATTTTCACTTTAATTCTTGCAACTTAATTTTGTTGTTAGGCACTATTGGCAAGAAAATAACACAAAGACGTTCTGTGGCTACTCATTCAGAAACAAAATAAGGAGAGGAATAATAGACAAGTATCAAGATAGATGCTAATTCAAGACGTTATTGTAGTTGTGTGATTTCACATGTAGCCTCGTAATCTAAGTTTGAAGCACAATTTTTGTTATTCTTGCTTTCAGAGAACATAGCTATATAAATACAACTTAATGATGTAACTTCTTCTACCTGGTTTCTTACATAATCTCTGTGTTTTCTAACGCCAGCTGTGATCAGACACATTTTGGCTCTGCTCCTCGACACAGGTGTCTAGTGGGCAGAGAGCAGGGGCAGCTAGAGGGGGTTCCAAACAAAAACACACCGCACAGTGCACACAGACACACACACACACTTCTTAAAGACAGCAGACGCCGGTCTAAATGTCACCTGTGAGGGCTTATGATCGGACAGATGGTAAAGCTGGAGAGGATAAAGTCATGTCTGCAGGCGGGACTGCTGATATTGATGTAATGCTGCATGGTAAGGACATGAAAGCACACACAAGGAGGATGAGACAAGTTACATGGTGGAGACGTGACAGAGGACAGGAAGGGTAAAGTCAAATGTGAGCTGACTACATGTTCCACACACTTAGTTTCCTGATAAGGTCTGTTTCTTGCCATCTGCTGCCCTCTTGCAGATTTATATGCAAGCCAGCCCCTGTTGTTGGAGAGAGGTGACAATACTTACAATCAGGACACTCTAAAAAGGTGCTTTTTCGGCTAAAATCCTGATTCTGTTTGTGCATATCTTTTGGCCTGGTTTCAGATTTTGAAGGTAGCTCTGAGAAACATCCGAGCCCAAATCTTTGCACAGCATAAACTTGATGGTTTATTGGTTTGGCTGACCTTTTAAAGAAGCATACCTCCCTATCAGAATTATAGGTGCGCTATGGCGTCAGGCCCTCAATGTGTCATCGGTGATCAATGCCTTTCCCCATGTGGAGAGACAGCCGCACACTCACTGACGCCCAAACACTCTCCGTCTCCCTCTCTTTTCTCTCCAACACATACACATTCTCTTTAAGGTCACCCCTGTCCCACAGGCCTTAACACACAACTGTCCCCACAATTAGATGTGGTTCAGTAAAAAGCCTTTCAGATTTGAGAATGGGGAAAGCTGCCTGGGAGCTCCAGATTTAATGACTTGCACTACCCAGGAGCTAAATGTCTAAAGATGATGAATGGCCTAAGAAAGGAAAGCAGGTTTTGTGGTTTGATACACCCATTTAATCACATTCACACATCAGTTAAATCAAGAAATGAAAACCTTCAAATAACTCAAGGTGCATTCACGCCCTCTCTCTCTCACTGACATTTGGCTTTTCTTATTGGAAGGCAGCACCATTAACAAAATACTGTCATGCAATTTAGTGAGTTCTTTGGCAAACACTGGGTGAGTTTTCTCTTTGTTTGTTTTAACCCAGGGCTTCAGGAGTTCTCATGCTAAACTAAAACTGAAATGATTATGCTTCTGTGTTTAAAAAGCTGGTGTAACGATAGCCGCAGAGATGAATGTCACTGCCTTACATGTAATAATAAACAAAAACATTTCAGCTACACTTCATCATACCGACAGCTATCCTCGTAACAACACTGCGCTGCTAAAAAAGATTTTGTAGAGGCAGCAAAGAATAAGCTGCTGCCACAAGTCAAGCAGCTGCCTCAGGGGTCAGAGTCACTGGGACGGACGGAGGGGCTACAGAGGCACAAACTAACAGGGCCTGGCGGTGCATGTGTGGATATTGCACAACCATGCCCACAAAGACTGTGAGTATATGCTGTAACAAAATAGGACCGTCACAGTTTTGCTCGAATCCATGGCTGACATTGACAAATGGGGATCATTTTGTTAGGCAACATTAATGCACACATGGACAGTGGCATTTCAGAAATGTTCCTCCATGCAGCCAACAGGATAAACTGCTGAGAAAGAAACAAACTGAGGATGGATGGAGTGTCTACAGCTGCATTAAATATGCTAATCCGACAAATATGATGCACAACACACAAATTATATGGTGTGATGTATTATCTGGCCTGTTGGTCATGCATGTCATGTGTAATGATATGCATTCTTGTTCTTTAATTTTCAAATTTTAATCCTTTCTCACACACAGTGGAGAGAGATGACAGGAAATGAGGGAAGGAGAGATGCCACAGACTGCCCAGTTTGAATTGAGGATACTGAGGTTTGTGGTCTGCATCTTAACGGCTCCATGTCATGACCTTTTGAGAGCAACCGAGAAACTGACATGTTGTGTTACTTCTTATCATTTTATTCACTGCTTCTCAGTCTTCTTGCTGACAACTGTTGAGCTACATTAGACTTTTCTGACCAAAAAACTGGCTAGCATCACTGAATGTAGCATATGCTCGTTTGCTCTCTCAGCTGGCAACAACACTTTCAAAAAATTAAAAAGTCCAATGCTCAGTCTAGCTTAAGTTATAAAACTACATAATTAGTTAAAATCTGGGCAGTGAAAGAAGATGGCAAACTTTGTCGAAGCAATGTTTGTACCAAAACTGCTGCATGATCCTGACTGTTAGCTGACTTATAGTATTGTATTTTTGGGACACCTATAATAAGTAAGTAATGTAAATATCAATTTTGGTGTGGTTTGGTTTGGTTTGGTTAGGAGAGGAGAGGAGAGGAGAGGAGAGGAGAGGAGAGGAGAGGAGTTTGCTAAGTAAAGTTAACTAGAATTACTGCCTTGGGGTTAAACTAATGGTGAAACTTCTCCCATGCACCGAGTATGCAGAAGACCAAGGGTGGCTGCCACGAATACATGAACAGCCCTGACTAGAGCCAGTCAGTACGTTTACATGACATTGGAGAAAATTGATTTATTGTGTTAGTCCGGCTAAAACCAGACTTTTAAAATACATGTAAACATCTGAGTCTGACTGAAATTGTACTAAATCGAATTTCTTTTTTAAGACTATTTTTTTGGCTTTTTTAGCCTTTATTAGATGCGACAGGTTGAGCGTGAGGGGCAGAGAGAGGGGAGACGACATGTGGTGGGGGGCCACAAGTTGGAATCAAGCCCGTGGCCACTGTGGAAAGGATACAGCCTTTGTACATGGGGAGCGCCCCCTAAATTGAATTTTTCAAGGTCAGACTAACACACCTAGATAATGCCCCTGGGAGTCAAATTACTCCTGCATGATGTAATAGGTCAACCGGAAAAAGGTCCAATACTAACAAGCTGAAAGAGGACATATTGCCACCTATTGGAGCGGCGTCTGACATACTCTTGTCAATAAGTCAGTTCCCTCCTGTGCTTATAAACTGGGACAAAGACAGTAGTCCAATTAAATGGCCTAGTAGAGCTATGACCGTAGCTCAACTTAACTGTGCATGTAAACATACTGAGTGATTGATTTGTCCCTTGCGGACTACTGTAGAACAATATGGCAGACATCACAAAAATTCTTATTTTCAGGTGATTAAAAACTATTGAAAACATATGAATCTTACATATTTCTGCCAATAGATGCCCCTAAATCCTTCACACTGGACCTTTAAATGCCTCTGCCAAGCAGTCAAGTTGCAGTTTACATCCATGTCTGTCCAGGGTCAAACATTTAGTGAAAACTCAGTATTCAATAAAAGGTATTAAGTGTATTTTTAGGCTAACTGGAAGTTTACACTATACTATCACTATATTGACATGTAGGTTATGATTCCAGTGAATAATTTCCATTAAGAAACATGCTGCTGTTGCTTAGAGACTGTTTTTGCAGAGGGGTACAGAGGACTGATAGAGACCGTCCTCACTTGGTGCAACAAAAATCACCTGAAGCTGTCAGTAAAACCAATGAGCTTGTAGAGGTGTAAATCACAAGTTTCATCACAATACAATATTATATTATATAAACAACGATACCGTGTGTGCTGATATCACAAAGTCTTCAACAATACAATTTCGATTCAATACAGTAGCCTGCGACTGATATTAGACGATGTCAGTAAATATCCTTATTGTCTCTTTCATGGCTGCTTACCATTATCTGCCTGACAAAATGCCGCTTGGACAGAAATGGTGATGAAGACGTGCCATGGGAATTTGAAAATAAAGCCGTATCTTTAAGATGATGATGTACATCAACATTTTTACTTTGCATCAGTGATATTGGATCAGTTACTGTTGAATGAATATTATGAATGAATTCGGATCAATGAGCTTGTCATTGACTACCAGAGGAACAGGTTAGAACACAAAGTTGTAGCCAGGACAGTAAACAACACTTCAAATATGGATGTTGCTGCAAAGAAGCTGCATATTCTAAATCATGGATGCTTCACGATCATCTTCATACCGACAGCACAGAGGATCTATTCAATCAGCACAGTTTCAAGGTGAGCAACCAAGGTGACAGTCGCCAGTACACTATCGGACCAAATGTCTCTCCTTCTGTTCCTGAGATATGGCGTTGAGTAACTGCCAGGAGAGTGTTTCTGCAGATCATAATGATGTCACAGTGAAGGTGGCCTTTGACCTTTTGGATATAAAATGTCATCACTTCATCAATTCATTCCTTTGGACATTTGAGTACAAATTTGTCATAATTAGAACATGAATTCTTGAGTTTTGTGAGGTCACAGTAACCTTGAGTTTTGAAAAACAAAATCTAATCAGTTCAACTTTATGTCCGAGTGGACATTTGTGCCAAATTTAAAGAACTTCCCTCCTGGCATTCCTGAGATATTACATAGCAGTGGGATGGACAAACAGATGGACATGTAATAACACAACAAAAGAATGGAACAGAAGATAGGGGCTCAATACCAGAAGGTCAGGCAAATAAAATGCAAAGCATACAGACATGCCGAGTCACCCTCCCCCTGCTGCAGAATGGATTACATCCGTTGATGGAGGGTAACAAAATTTGCAAGTTAATGACACAACAGAGCAAGCAAAGAGGGCAAAGTATCCCCTCTTTCATATTCATGTTCTGCTGCTGTGTTGTATCCTCTCCCTCTCTCGCACTCTCCTCAGTCTCTCCATCAGCACTCTAGTTTACGTCTCTCTCCGCTAATTATTATCTTATCATTTTCCTGTCTCATGTCTCTCTCACAGTGGTCCTGAGAGGAAAACAGAGAGATGAAGAGTGAAGAGAAAGGGAGAAAGTCATACATATGCCTCTGTGGACTGTAATTCACAGAGAGGTTCTCACAGCTGGCTTTGATCTTAGTTTAGAGGTACTAATGGTGGGGTATTAGGGGAGGTCTGGTCACCCTTTTATATGTCTTTTTGTGTATTTGTATTTGTGAGTGTGGGTCTGTATAATATTGCTGTATTTTGTAAGGGTTAGTCACCCATGTAGATTACAAGAAAACAGCAGCCAGACATTGATAATGGATGCTCTTTCAGCTCAAATACTGGAGCATATAGTATCACTAACATCCCTCTTTGGTATGTAAATATATACACTTTCAAAATATAGGGACAAAGGGTATTTTTAAGCACTTTCATTCCAAAACCAAACATGTATATACAACACAATATATTAAACACCACCAAACATAAACTCCCATATAACTAGTTCTGTTGAAGTTGTGCTTACACAACTTTGAAAAACTTGTTCAATTGTTTAGGCCTCTGACATTTTCCAAAAGAGTGTAATTATTTTTCCAGCCCGGCCTGAACTCTAAAACAGGAATTCACAATCAGCGGTTGATTTTATGACTGAGAATCTGCCCCGAGTCAAGCTGTCTGCAAATTGCAATTACCCCAAATAAAGCATGCCAATCACATTTAGAACAATTTTATGTTCCTCAAAAAAATCTCAACAAATGATAAAATGTAAATGTTCTACAAGTTTAAAGGCTTGAATATTATAACGCTCTATTTACATTCCGGTGCGAAGCAGTCTCACAGTTAAAGAGACTGCATGACTGCACAGGGCCATCAATATGGTTTCCTGGCTTTTACAGTTAAACCTTCAGCAGCTATTGCTACGTGTCAGTGCTTTACTAAGTGACCATTACAGGTAATCACGTCTATAATGATGTGGATGTAATTTTACTAGTTTCCCTGATACTCGCACTGAAATGGCCTCACAGGCTAAGGTAAAACTTTAGTTTTAAGCAGGCTAAAGCATTTAAAGGGCAGAGTGATACTCTGAAACAGGAGGATTAGTGTGTGGAGTGTGAAGAGTGAGTGTGCGTCTGTGTGCATATAAAGAGTATGATGGCAAATGCTAGAATAAGCTTCCCAGTTTCCTTCTCCAAATGTAAAATCTGATTAAATTAACAAAACAAAGTGATTACAGAGACCTTTTAAAGGCAGAAAAGCATCCACTTTGAGATGATTTCATGGAGCTGAAATAGAGCTGATTAAAACAGGGAGAGGAGAATCTGTCAGTGGAGCACTGAACTGTTTTGGTTCGAAATGCCAATTGCGTCTTATGAATTGCTAACCCCTTACCCTTACTGGTTTAAAACAATTTAATGCATTTATGACTTGATCAGAGAGGAGTCTGCCACAGTGATACAAGATGAATAACAATGAATTTCGGCTTCTGGTTGTGTACTCTTGTGCTTTGTGACAGTCAATGTCTTAATCTGAGTTTAAATCCATGTTAAGAAGAGTCTCCATGCCTCTGTGTGTGTGTGCATGCATGTGAATAACCCACCTCCTGCAGCGTCCGTCTCAGTCTTAAAAGCAGGGTTTTGACAGCAGTACAGTCCTGCTGCATCAGTCGGAATGGAAGAGTCTCCAGTCCTGGTGGTAAGGGTTCATCTTCCCTCCCCAAACCCAGCCCCGAGCTCCAGTCAGCAGGCAGCAGGCTGGTTGGACGGCTGGGCTCCCTGGAGGAAAGATAGAGTGGAGGGAAGGGAGAGAAATAAAGAGATTTAAAGTTACCATGAGTCAGTGTGAAAACTCGATCATTGACCTGTCTTCTCTGCTCCCCACTGCTCTCCACAGGCAACCTGCTCATCCTCGCCTTTGATCGTTACTGATGGTGTACATGATACATTTCACAGTACTGTCAAGATATCAGCCACTTCTGAGTATGCCTATAGTTCCCTGAATTCTGCGAATGTGTGGCCCAAAAAATGCACAAACGTGGTCCAAACAATAAGTTGTCATCATGCAACATCATAAACTGTACCTTCTACAGAGCAACTGAAAAGAGGAGTGGTGATACACACATCTCCTTTTCACAGATTTTCAGTCTTGCAAAAGACACTGTGAAGATTTGTGTAAATTCTATACAAAGTGGCTTTAAAGGGGCTCAATGTGAAATTAAAAGCGCCTGAGTTGTCTGGACGCAATTCTCAACATGGTGGGCAACTATCTGCTAACTGTGCTGACTCCATATATGGTGCTAAACACAGCAAGAGTGCTAACACAGTGAAGCTGTTGGAACTGGACGGTGAGCGCTACACTTCTGAGGTGACGCCTGCCCAATATCAGCTGGCATACCGTCCTTTGAGCGCAGTATAGAGCGGCAGCATGCACTATCATTGATGCATGGTGGGATTGGTTTACTACAACAAAGCAGAAAAACCCCACTTCCACCAAGCACTACGATACGGTACAGTCCAGTTCGGTAGACTTTTTCTTCCCGTTTCCACTGTGAAAAGTTGTGGATGGTACCAATGGGACCGTTCCGTACTGTTCCCATTTTTGGTCCCCCCTCTGTTGGGGTACCTAGCACACAGATCTGGTACTGAAAGGTGGAGCTGTGAACACTGCAGTCCGTTGATTGGTCAATAGCGGACGGTCACTCTGCTCAGGGCTGAGTTGTGCCTGATTTTGAGGCTCATTTAACCACTGTTCATTTTGTGAAGAGTTAAGTAAACTATAATTATTTTTAATTATCCCATCAAAACAGACTCTCACTGCAGCCTGTTATTTTTTTCTGAAAATGTCAGCATGCAACCTTGTTCTGTGGACGACAAAGGAGGTGCAGACTTCCCTCTGGGTCACCGGAGAAGAGCCTTGAAATATAGTGAGTGCTGGACAGAGCAGTGAATGACAACAACCCGGCCCACATTTAAGAGTACTGTTTGCAGTAGGAACGCAGGGTCTAGGAACAATGTCTGAAGGGTTACTTTTGGTTCCAAAGGTACCATACTGAAAGTGTTTGGTGGAAACGTGGCTTAAGAAGCTCAGATAACAGCACACACAGAGGAAGCATGACTTCCTCCTTTGCATAGGACGCATTTATTCCACTGTATCTTCACATAGCATACAGTGGTTTGCTGCTACATTAAGATACAAGATATACTATGCAGAATTTTCCTAAAAAACAATGTATAGACTCAAACAGACATAATCCATCATTTGTGACCCTCCCTCAGTGTTTGCTGGTGTATTTTCCAAAGAAACTCTGCTCTCCTCCTGTATTTTCTTATTTTCTTCTTATTTTTTGTGCTCGGGCGGTTATGGGTGTGTACCCCCACAGTGCTCAGGTGAGGTCGGACTATAAAAAGGTGCCAGACCGTAAGCAGCAGGCATCCAGGAGACACAGAGCCAAAACAAAAACACAAATATAGCAAAGCAAAACGCCAAACCAGAGTGGATCTGGGGTCTGTTTTTACTTTGACTTTCGCTGGTGAGTATGGTTACAAACAGTAACCGACAATCCTGCAGTATACCTTTAATGCTCTGAATGTCGCATACAGTACCTTTAAATAACACACAGTAAAAAGACAAGAGAAATAAAAACACAGATGAGAGATTTCTACAGAGAGGGGAAATAAGACAGGCTAACAAAGGTCAGATGGAAACCAAGACCTGCAACACAGCCAGCTGCTCCTCAGGACTCCCTAAGGACTTCATTTTAATGAGCACTCATTTCTCTAATAAGTCTGTTTTAAGATGATTTAAAACAGACAACACGAGGTGATAACAAACTCCCACACAAACAGACAAAATAAAAGCACACACAAATGCCTGCGTGTGTAGACGCACGTTCACACTAATGCATTCAGAGATCAAAGAAGCCAAAGCACACGAGTCCATCTTCTAATCCTGCGTCTCACCATCATTATCAACTCAAAAGGATACTTCACTGTTAAGAGCTTTGATTCATTATAGCTCATCACAGCTGTGTGATCCCGTCTTTGTGTCCCTGTCGTATTTTTGTGAGGATTCTTAATGTAGTGTTTTGTATTATTGCGTGTCCACAATTATTCTTCCACAGAGACAACCCTGTGTATGTGCTGATTGTGCAACTGTGACTGTGTGTGTGTGTGTGTGTGTGTGTGTGTGTGTGTGTGTGTGTGTGTGTGTGTGTAGGAGATCTCTCGGTTGGAGAGCAGCATATCAAACACCTTTCTAATTAACAAAGCTTTCGATGTTAAGCGCAGGAGACCTCCTGGCCATTTGACAAATAGAAGGGATGAAATCTCTCCAAAAAAGGACAAGTTCACGAGTCACTGTTTAAGGCCTGATTATCACCAAGCCTCCAAACCTATGTAACACTCTATCCCTCTGCACAGCTGCAACATTTTTTTGCAGTGGTGTGGGGTTGGACTCAGATACACATGGACACAAACAAAGGAGAGATCAAACAAGGCACTGTTTTAATTAACTGTCCCATTTGAGAACACAGTCCATTAAGCAGTAAACGGTCCTCTGGAGCAGTATGTCTTTGGTCTCCGGTGCATGGCCTCTGTTATTTGTCTCACCTTCAGCACCTATTTAGTGCTGCAGAGGACAGATACTGGGAAGAACTTTCAACAGGAGTCAGGGGTGCTCAATGTCAAAGCACTCCTCATCTTTCTTTGCCTTCCAGCCAACACTAAAACTCAACTGAAGCACCACAACTAAAAACACTGACCTTATCTATAAAAACTAATATCTTCATAGTCATTCGTGGCTCGGAGCCCACTTTACTTGTTCTGCCTGTTTGAGAGTTTAAGTTTAACCAGAAGCAAATTTTTAACTGCTTTACGATGTTAGACCACTTTATATTCCACCAGACTTTGGCTCTCCTTCTGCTGGGTAGCTGTAGCTGTTTCAAAGGAATTATGTGACTAATGTTTTCAATTTGGTTGGTTACATCTTTGCCTGGCCACTAATGCCAAATACATTAGGAAAATAAATGCAGCAGCTTACTTTATGATAGTTTGGGCATTATAAATGTAAATGCATGATGGGTGCATGGCTGCTGTGGTGTATAATTTTGACTTGTTTTACTGCAGTGTTTGATGATTATGGGGTAGTAAAAGATACACTGTGAAAAACAACTTTTAATTTGCACATTCTCATTTTAGGATTAACATTTAGCCTCGGTTAATAGTTGTCCATGGATACATTCAGCACTCTCTTCACACAGCAGCAATTATGAAAGAAGCTGTCAAATTATGCTTAACCTTTAAAAGTCCAGTATGGCTATGTTCAGGGGTACAAAGAATGCTATAAAGAAACAAGTTTGTTAGTTTGAATGCATGTCTGGTTAGCTATGGATTAACATGTAGCAAATCCAATGAAGACTGTGGCAAGAGTACAATGAACTTCAAGCATCTATGAGCAAATAAGCTATGGTATTTGACTTTAAAGCCGTAGTTGGTAACGTTAATAAAAAACAAGCTTTTGTCATATTTGCTGAGACTGTCACAACATTTTGGAAAAAAGGGCCGTGAAACAAATAATCTGTGACAAGAAAATCCTGACCCTCCACAGTCACATTCACCCATTCACGCACACATTCACACACTGGTGGCCAAGGCTACCATACAAGGTGCCACCTTCTACTTTTCTGCTGCCTTTTTAACACACTCACATACTGATGGAACAGCCATCAGGAGCAATTTGTGGTTCAGTATCTTGCTCAAGGATACTTTGACATGCAGCCTGGAGGAGCCGGGGATCGAACAGCTGATCTTCCAACTGGTGGACGACCCACATTTGCTGCAACCCACCGCGGCTGAAGTTCATGTGAGGAATCCACCACACGTGAACGAAAACAACCAATCAATGCCGAGGAGTCTCTAATGCAGCTGTCAATTATGTCAACTACTGCTCCTGAACTGTGGTCAAACTGTCAAACTAGGCAGCGCTGATCAAATATGTGTCAAGAAAGTTCGCCCTAGCCAGTGCTTGGTACTTCGGTCAAGTGTTTCCAACATGGCGGCTGGAACAACTTCGTCATTTTAGGGCTAAAAAGTGCCCTAAAATATGTCTCTGAAAACATTCGAGGTGAGAAAATGTAAAATGTAGTAACAGAATGCCGATTCATATACTTCAGCCGAGGAAGACTGTAGTAAATGCCATTAGAAGCACTATGAGGAAGAGAGGGTACATGATATTTTTCACAAACTATCTCTTTCATGTAAGACTGTGTGGACATAGTGACAGTTTTAGCAATTTTGTTTTACTGTCTACAGTTTGAAGTAAAAATAACCTTAACCCCAAGGGCTCTATATGCAAAAACATGAACCTTTAGAGGGCACAATCTGTCCCTTTTCTACTGACAACTATTAAATAGCAATTATAGTCAGATTTCCAATTGATAAAAATGTGGAGATGACCCTGATTTGGCCCAAAAAGAGATTTTAAAATGTCAAAACTGGGGACATAACAAAAGCATGTGAGAGTTAAGTTTCAAGGCTGATGTGTTCTGACAGAGTAAAGCTACAAATAATGAACAGATTATGATTCTTTCTCAGAACTGCACAATAATTAAATCTGATTGAATTTCGTTACATTTGGTCTGAACTGGTTGTGAAGCCGTCTTCTAAGTTACTTGATTGCGTATTTAGTATCATGATAGAAACTACAGTACAGACATGTAACAAACAAACCTCATTCATTCATTTGCGAAACCGCTTATCCTGTTAGGGGTTGCAGGGGG